AAAAAAAAAAAAAAAAAAAAAAAAAAAAAAAAAGCAAATGTGGAACTAGTTCCTGAGCTGGAATGGGAACTCTGAACCTCTGAATCAAAGCCAGTGGCTCCACAGGCTCCCAGCCCTGTCCTCTGCTTACCTAGGACCCAGGCAACCCTTTATTAAACTCTCGAATCTACTTTGGCTTCAAATTAGTGGAGAGTCCAGCATATACCCACGGAGTAGAGGGATGGAGAGGAGTCCAGGTAGGAAACGATGAACTATGCGGCTGCTGAAATTTGGAGAGAGGATGCTGGGAGGGGGCTGTATGAGTGGGAAGAAAACAGCAGCAGTTTTCCGTGGACTCATTTGGAACTGAGTAGGAGCTGCTCAGAGGGAAGGTAGGCTAAAGAGAGAGACTGTCAGTACCTGTCATTCAGCCCTAGGCCGACATCAGAGAGGCATCCAGAGCTCTGTGGAGCCCCTGGGCTTTCCTCAAGGGCTCCGGGATGAGATGCATATCTGTTGGAGGCAGGGAGCTGCCTACCTGACCTCTTCTACTTCCTGCTTCAGGGCTGTTCCCTGTTGGGACAGGGGTGCGGGAGGGACAGGTGGGGCAGGGCATCAGGTGTGTGGCGTGAGAGGTGGGGCACAGGTTCCTGGCTGCAAACCTGGTGCTTTGGGGTGTGGGTGTTAGGGGATGGAGAGAGACACAAGTCCTTTCTGAAGAGAAAAATCTGGAAGCCACACAGTTAAGTACCCGTGACCTCCAACTCCTGCACCCTATCTGCTCTGAGAGGGATGCTGAGGGCTCCGTCCTAGAACTGAATTCTCTTCCCTGAGTAGGAAACTACTAAAGGTTGGGATGCCCGGGGCCCCAGGGGCTTGAGACCCTGTATGTTGCTCACCACCTTGCTTGAGCGTTCTCCATTCCCCTGTGCAGCAGAGATGGCCCAAGCCACGCAGTATCTCCCTGCTTTATGCTCCAGAGAGGATCGAGTTATTTATGATATGTCTGTTGCCTCGGCTCGATCGTAAGCTCCCTAGAACTGTGCCAGTTATCTCTGTGCTTCTAGTACTCAGATACGCTGGTACCCAGCACCCACTGGGATCCAGTTCTGTGGCTCAGGATCCCCCAGTCCTCTTGAGCAGAGCCTACTGACACGGTTGGTGCCCGACAGCAGCCTCTCTGCCCACAGGGTCTGAACGGCCAGCTCCACAGAGGGGAGGGCCCTCTCCTGCTCTCCACCCTGTGACTCTACGATTGTGTGGCTCTGCCTGACACGTTTCCTCCCTGCCAGCCCCGGGCCATCTGTGGGCCGCTGAGTGGACTGTGTTTGGTGCCTGGTGCTGCTTGCACCCTGGCATTGACTTGCTCAGCCATGCACATGTCTTCTTCCTCAGCTGACTGCCTGGTGCTTTCTATTCAGTTCCTTCTTGTCTTCCTGAGGGAGTCTGAGGTGTCAAACCTGGCCACATATGCGAATCACTTGAAGGGCTGAATCAGACCATCCAGGGGAGGGGCCGGGAATTTCTGTGTCTGACATACTTCCCAGAGGACAATTACAGTCATTGAGGGTGAACTCTGGAGCATGTTATTATGTCAACATAAAATTTTGTGGGTGTGTTTATGTAGGAAAATATCCTAGTTCTGACGGGATTCGGGCTGAAGTGTTTAGAGAAGTGTTTGCAGCTCACTGTCAAACGAGTAGGAGGGGAGAGCTCAGATGAGCGCGTGCAGGTGGAAAGGAAGCTGGCCATGGCTGACCTTTCTGTTTCCACCTGCCCTCCGAGAAGTGGAGACTAGGACAGGGCACGCGCAGCCCCCCAGAGCTCACAGCTCCAGGGGCTGCCACTCACTCAGTTTCTTCGCTGTGGTCGGGGTGCCTTTTACTTAGAATGCATTGTGTGGGTGCTCCCTGAGGTGCACGGCAGCAGTGCTGGCCGCAGACAGCTCTTCCCGGACGGACTGGAGAGTGGCGATGACACGGGTGCTGGAGACAGGACGCAGGGCCTCGTGTGTGGTGGGCAAATGCTCTGCCACCGAGGGACATCCCGTGCCCGTTTGCCTTTTAGCAGAATCCCTAGCAGCCCTTGAAGACGAAGGGGCTACAGCAGCTTCCAGTGTCAGCCCAGCAGAGGCTGGCCCGGGAGTCTGGTTGGGGAAGGGGAAGGCAGGTGACACGAGACCCTAGACCCTGATGCCTAAACTTCTTTCTTTTTTCTCCCTTTGGTACTTGGTGATTGAACTCAGCACCTTCACACTGAGCTATACATGCCCGGCCCCTTTTATTTTTTGTTTTGCGTAGGGTCTCACAGTTGCTAAATTGCCTAAGCTGGACTCAAACTTGCAATCCTCTTGCCCTAGCCACTCACAGTGCTGGAGTAACAGGCATGTGCCACCATGCCTGCCCCTGATGCCTAAAATTCTTGGTCCCCTGCCCTAGAAAATGAAAGTTGGGGCAAGGGTCCCTAGACAAGCTCCCTCTGTCCTCTGGTCATTGATTGCTGCTGGGGCTGTCCCCTTTCCCCTTCCCTTCTCTGGATGTTCCCTGTGCCTAACTGCTGCTCTTGGAACCCACTGCACCTTGGAGGGGGCTCTTCTGGCCCTGCAGGGGACGTATTTGTCCTGTCTCCTCACCATGTCTCCTCTCTCAGCATCAGGCTGAGGGAGTGCTGAGTTTTTTTGAAGAAACAACTGCCATGTTGGCCCATGCGTGCATGACATCTGTCAGTGGGTGGGCTTCCCTCCCTGCATGGCTGGGCCGGTCTAGTGGTGCCCTCTAGAGCCAGGGGCCCGGGGGCTAAAGAGGGGTAGCTCTTCTTTACTCCGTCTGAATTCCAGTCTGGGAAGCAGCTGAGGATGGGGCCTGCTTGGACCACCCTCCAGCCTTTCCTTCTATCCATTCTGGAGTCTTCTGAGCAACTTCACCATGGGAAATCTGTAGGTCTGAATCAGAGCCAGAAGGCCACTTTGTGTGGTTTTCCTGCCCACGCATGCACCTGACTTAAAAGTGCCCCACCCAGCCCAGTTTATTTGGAATCCCAAGCCTGTGTTTCAAGGACTCTAGGAAAAGCCTCACCTGGGTCCTTCCTGGTTTCCATGTCTCAAAATTTCTCATTCCAGAAAGCCTGGCCCTTACATTGTGATTCAGATGCATTCTTTTCAGTAGGAATGAGGTGAATTTGGAACTTGAGGTTAGTGGGGGTGATGGGTCCATAAACGTGTCATTTCGATGAATGTATTTTAAGGCCTTGAGAGGGTGCAGTGGACATTGAAGGGTTCAGAGGATTCCTGCAAAATGTAGCATCTGAGCAAAGTCTTGGGAGGGCTTGAGGGAGAAACACAAAAGCAATAGGACTGGAAAGGGGGATGCCCAGGAGAAGGACGCCCTGGAAGCAAGTCACAGAGGTGTCAAATACAGGTAAGGAAAACTTGGAGGCTGAGGGAGGTGGGGGCTGCTGGTAAAGGCCTGGAAGAGGAGTCAAATAAGAAGCTTTTCAAGGGTTTTAAGCAGAAAATGTGAAGGTCAGATTTAAACTTTAGAAAGAGCCCTCAGGCTGCTCTGCAGAGAAAGCCTTGAAGAGGGAAAGATCAGTGGAAGGAAAGGCTGTTGGCCTGGCCCAAAAGAGAGGAGATGAGGATTTGAACTGGGACAGCAGTAGTTAGGATCGAAGGAAGGACTAGCTCTGAGTGGGGTCAAAGAGGGAAAGTGGGCGGCCTTGGGGAATCTGATGTGGGGTGAGAGGAGGGAGGAAAGAAGGCGACGGCTCGGTTTTGTCCATTTGAATTTGAGATATGGCGGGCATGTGAGTCTGAAGGGGCGATAGACACCCTTCGCAATCATTGCATGAGTGGTGTGGTGAGGAGACAGGTACAGAACAAACAGTGGGCTGGGATGGACACCGGAGCCAGCACCAGCACTTCCGGTGGACAGAGGAAGAGGGGCACACAGGTGAGGGTGGAGAACAAGGAAGAAAATAATGGCATGAAGCCAGGGGGCCAAGGGTGGAGCCCCGGGCAGGAGTGACAGCGGGCAGGGAATATGGAGTAGGGCAGCCGGGCCTTGCTGCTGAAGCTGTTTTGTGGGCTGTTGGGGCCGATGCTAGAGTCCAGTGAGTTAAAGGAATACGGGGAAGGGAAGGGTGTCGGCTACTCTCCCATGAAGCTTGGCTGGGCTCAGAAGGGAAGGGAAGAGCAGAGAGGACAAAAAGTCAAGGGACAGTCTTTAGGGTGTAGGTTTTTATTTCATTTTTAAGGCTGAAAGAAGTGTGTTTATGTCCTGACGAGAGAAACCAAGTTAAGGGGAAGAGGCTGAAGATATGGGGAAGTTGAAAGAATTAAAAGCATCATACAACAGCAATACATGCACACCCACAGTTTGTAATAGCTACATCTTGGAAACAGCCCAGATGCCCATCAGCCAATGAATGGATAAAGAGGATGTGGTTTTTTGTATAGCAGAGCATGACTGTGCCATAAAGGATGAGCTTGAGCCATTTCTAGCTAAATGGATGCACCTTGAGACCATGCTCTTCAGTGAGAGAAATTGGACACACGTGATTAAACACTGCATTGTTTCTCTGGTATGAAAAACTGAAAGTGTAAATGAGGACCAAAATGTATAATGGATATTGGGAAATGGGAAGAAAATGTTCAAATAAGGAGAGCAAGGGAGGGAGGAGGGGGAAAGGAAGGGACAAGAAAAAAAAAAAAAAAGAATAGAAGAAAAAAATGGAAGCAAAAGCCGGGAGTGGTAGCGCACGCCTGTAATCCCAGCAATCGGGAGGCTGAGGCAGGAGAATTGCTGTGAGTTTGAGAACAGCCTGGGCCACACAGTGAGTTCCGGGTCAGTCTCAACTACATAGTGAGACCCTGTCTCAAACCCCCCTCCAAAAAAAGATTTAAACCCAGAGCTGGTCATACTGGCACACACCTGTAATCCCAGCACTTGGGAGGCTGAGGCAGGAATATCGCAAATTTGAGGACACCTGAGTTACACACTGAGACCCTGTCTTAACCCCCCCCCCCGAAAGATGTAAGCCCAGCCCCTCTTTGAGCACATTTTTCTAGTGTCTCCAGTCTAGGAAGCACTAGGCAGGACTTCTTCCTCCTTTTCCTGGGACACTTTCTCAGTTCTGAAGGCCAAGTTATGTGTATCTCCACATTAGCATTCAATTCCTTAGAATTTCAAGTAGCAAGACTCCCTCAGGCCTTCTGTGGGTGAAAGGTGTCTAGAAGGAGGTGAGGGAGGTTTGGAGAAACTCAGCTGGCACAGAAAGAGTGAAGAGGCTGGGGCTCGGGCTGGTGCATCTTTGAGGACCTGCGGGCTAAGTGTAGTTGCGGTCAGGGTCCTGGGCCTGTGCCCGACAGATGCCCTGGGGTCCTGGGAGGGCACCTCAGCTGAAGGGGGATGCTGTCCAAATTTATTTTCAATCAAGTGGAAGTTGCCACTCAAGATTCTACCGGAAGGTGAGGGGGTGGTGGCATGTGGCTTGAATCCCAGCACTCTGGGAGGCTGAGGCAGGAGGATCCCAAGTTCATACCCATCCTTGGCAATTTATCGACATAGCAAGACCCTGTCTCAAAATACAAAATTAAAAGTAGGGCTAGTGTGAAGATTCTGGGTCTAGTCACCAGTAACAACACACACAAGCTATCTGAAGCTTTTCCCTGTTGGTGTTTTCAGTTTTGTAATTGTGAGGAATAACATGTAATGTGTGTTTGTTACCCCCTGGGCCGAGCGGTCCAAGAGCCTGAACCACTTCTGATAATTGTGTGTAATTGTGGTCCTCCCTGCCGCTGTGCTGGGTTAGAAGTGGCTGCTGCACACTCAGCCTCCCCCGTCTAATTGCGAACACACAGAGGCTCGCGGTCCTCATTCCGCTGCGGACTAGAATTTGTGGGGAGTTTGAAAATGCCGCTGCCCTACCACAGGCCAGGGAAACTGAATGTCGCGAGCGCCTGCGGCAGAGCTCTGCAAAGGTCTGTGTTTGTGGTATGCAGCTGGCAGGAGATCCGTGCTGGCCCGAGAAGCAGAAGGCGCCAGTGCTGCACACAGAGAGGGCTGCTTCCGCTGGGGCAGCTGGCCCAGGCTGCAGGCTCCCTGGGACCCTGGGCACTTGCGTCCCACCTGGGAGCGGTGAACTTTGTTTTATTGAACTATTGGTGTATTTAGGGAGGATCCCAGTGCAGTTTGAGTAATGTCGTAGGTCTGCTTAATTGGGCCATGTTGTACTTTCATTTACAGCTCTATCAGTGCAATTGACACAATAAAGTGTACATATTTAAAATGAACAGTTTGATAAGTTTCGACAGACGAGTGCACTGGTGAAACAATGGCTACAATCAAGATAGTGAGCATGTTTATTCATCACCCCTTAGAAGTTCCCTTAATCCTTCCCTCTTTCCATTCCTTTTCCAGACAGCCACAAACGCTGATCTGCTGTTTGCCACTGAAGACCAATCTGCATTTTCTAGAGTGTTGTGTAAATGGAATCATACATATTTATACTCTCATTGTCTGGATTTTTTAAAATTAGAGAATCACCTGTGTTTTGGGATTTGTCACGAATTCATTGCTTTCGTTGCTGAGCAAAATTCAGCTGTAGATATGTAGATGTCACATTTTAAAAAGTCTGTTTGGCCATGGATTTAGCTCGATGGTTCCACTGCCTGCCTTGCAAGTGCAAGGACCCAGAGTTTGATCCCTGGTACTAAAAAAAAAAAAAGTCTGCCTGTCAGTGGACATTTGGGCCATTTCCTGTTTGGGTTGTTACAAATAAAACCTCTGTGAATATTTGTGTGCACGTCTTGATGGACTAATGCTTTCATTATTCTTGGGTAAGTAGAAATAGGGTAACTGAGTCTTGTAACTACAGGTTTATGTTTTTTAAATTTTAAATGGTGGTGGTTCTGGGAATTGAACACAGAGCCTTTGCCCTGAGCTATGTCCCCAGCCCTTTTTAAATTTTCTATTTTGAGATAGTCTCTCACTAAGTAGCCTAGACGAGGCTAGAACTTGCCATCCTCCTGCCTCAGCCTCCCAGAGCACACCGCCATTGTGATGCTGGGCCTCGCCACATGGAGTGCTCTACACTGAGCTACGGCCCAGCTCTCGAGTGCTGTCCTCTTCAAACCGAAGGAAGACATTGTGCTTCCAAGATTGTTTCCTCTCCTTGAGGCGGTTTCCCTAGGACAGTTTCTGGGCTCAGTGCACCCAGGCTCTGTGTATCTTCTCATTACTGAGACTCCCTCAGGCCCTCTAGGGATAAAAAGCATTCGGGAAGGAGCTGTGGGAAGGTGGAGAAACAGCTGGCGCGGCAAGAGCAAAGAGTGTCTTCAGGTCTATGAGGCCAGGCTCAGGCTGGTGCGTTTTGGAGGCCCTGTGTTCTGAGCAGTGTGAGGGGGAAGCTGGGGACAGAGAAAGAGACGCGTGCAGGTGAGCTGGCGTGGTGCCCCCTTTCTATGCCATCTCTGCTTCTTTCCATCTGTTACGAAGAAATAGGCGCTGGCCGGATTATGTCCCCTGCACCCAAACATAGATAAATCTGTCCTGTGACTGAACGGTGTTTGTGTGCCCGTTGCTTGCAGGTGCCCGGACGCCATGCCCCAGCCCTCTGGGCCTGACGCTGGCAGGAAGTAGAAGGCCTCTTTGTCTCTCGTGCCCCCATCCTCACCATGTCTTCCACTCAGGGCAGTGGGGAGCACTGGAAGTCCCTGGAGTCGGTGGGCATCAGCCGCAAAGAGCTGGCCGTGGCCGAAGCTCTACAGATGGAGTGCGATGCCCTGTCCCGGCTCCGACACGACAAGGAGGAGAGCAGGTCCAAGCAGAACACCGAACATTCTCTCATCGACTGGGATGAGCCTGTCCTAGACTTCTACAGCAAGCCGGCAGGGAGACGGAAGGACCTCAAGCTCTTGCGCGGTCTCTCTGGCTCTGATCCTACCCTCAATTACAACTCCATCTCCCCACAGGAAGAGCCGCCCAACCACTCCACCCCCCAGGGCCCCCAGCCTGGCCCAGGTCCCTGGCCCAAAGGTTCCCTGTCTGGAGACTATCTCTACATTTTTGATGGTTCACACGAGGGGCTCTCTTTGTCCCCAGGACCAGGGGATATCGATGGCTCTTGCAAAAAATTGTCCCCACCTCCTCTGCCTCCCCGTGTCTCTATCTGGGACACCCCACCCCTGCCTCCTAGAAAGGGGTGCCCCTCCTCCTCCAAGATCTCTCAGCCCAATGACATCAACACTTTTTCTTTGGTCCGGCAACCACCGGGTAAACTGCTGGGGCATCAAATCCTGGAAGAGGAAGCGTTCCCGGGAGGTAGGCACGGGCACATGGCGGCGCCTGTGGACTTCGATGGTATCAACGACGCTATCACAAGGCTCAATCTGAAGTCAACCTATGATGCAGAGATGCTATGGGACACTAGCAGGGGCTGGAAGGAAGGTCAAGGTCCCCTGGACTTTGGCAAGGACACCCCGGGAAAACCTGTGTCGCGGAGCAAAACCATGCCCCCTCAGGTGCCACCCCGAACTTACAACGCCCGCTACAGCAATCGGACGAATGCCACGCCTAGCAAGAACCGCCGGATCTCTGCTGCTCTGGTGAGGCCCTTACGGTGTTCCTTCTGTGCCTTCTTCCCCATGTCACTCAGAAATAAGGACCAATCCCTCTCTTTTTTGCTGTTGCAAATTCAGCTCACCAAGCACTCACCCCCTAGCACTGTCCCCTCGCTGGTTTCTGCCATGGGAACCCAGGGCCACAGTGGGAGAAGTACAGGGTAGGCCTGACAGGGGCACTCGGGAGAGGAAGACCAGTAGAAGTGCAGCTCTTACTCGGGGTCACGTTTTGTGGGTCTGGGCTGAAACAGCCCTCCTGGGTGGGAGCTGGTGCTAGCTGGTGCCCACTCCACGAATTGGGGGTCAGGGGATTCATTGTTGACTTTGGCTGAATGATTTTGTAGATTTGAGGAAGTTGCTTCCAGTTGCCAAGGCCCTGCTCTGTCAAAGTCCTGTGCAGGCATGAAGATAATTCATAATATTAGCCACGTGTCTATTGCTCACCAATACCAGACCCTGGTCCAGATCTCCACAGCAACCCTGTCTGTAGTCCAAAGCCACATGGCAAGAAATGGCAGAGCTGGTATCCAACCCTCATCTCACTGTTCAGAGCACCCCTCACCTTTTTAATGCTTAAATATATGTAACATATCTGTCATAGTTACTTTTCTTGTTGTTGAGACAAAATACTCAACAAGCAAAGTTAAAGGGGGAAGGTTTATTCAGCTCACAGTTTGTAGAGGATTCAGTCCCTGGGTGGCTTGGCAGAGGGGCATTGCAGAAGAGAAAACAGCTCTTGGTGGGCAGAAGGCAGCAAAAGCGAGCAAGGGAGTTTAGTAGCTTCTTTCTGATCCTTTTATCTAGGCTGCTTGGATTAGGGCAGAGCCAAACCATTCACTGGATTGCGTGATCCCACACCCTTAATCCCAGCATCACACACTGTAGATTCAGCCACCTCTGAAAAAGCCCCACCTATGAACACATGAGGCTTTGGGGGGACAACTAGACACAAACCATAACACTCCACCCTAGCCCCCCAAAGACTCATGTATGCTCCTCTACATAAAAGGCATATTTAGTCCATTTCTAGGAGTTTCAAAAGCCGTAACAGTTTCAGCCTTGCTGAAAAGTCTGTCCCAAGTCTCCTCTGAAAGCCGGGGATTTAGCTCAATGGTTCTGCTGCCTGCCTTGCAAGCACAAGGTCCCGAGTTTGATCCCCAGTAACAAACAAACAAACCAGTCTTCTCTGAGACTTAAGGCAAACTCTTAGCTGCAAGCCTCTGTACAGATGAAAAGAAAGTTAAACACTTCCCACGTATAATAGCACAAGATAAATATTACCATTCTGAAAGGTACACTTTGTGGATACAAAGGAATGGGTCCAAGAAAGTCCAAAATCCAGCAGGGCAAACATTAAGTCCTGTGGTCCCATGGCCAGCATCTGAGGCACTCTGGAAAGATGTGAGCTCCAAAGGGCTTGGGTGCCTCCACCCCTATGACATTGCTGGCAGTGGTGGCTGCCATGGCTTCTCTTGGGCCAACATTGCCCCCCTCTTTGCAGTTTTCCTCAGATGATCCACATTCCCGGCTTCTCCAAATTTCTGGGGTCTCCATTGTACCTTTAGCCTCACAACCTGCCTTCTTGGGCACACTGCCTGGCTTCCCAGGCCTTTTTCTAAAACTTGGATAGAAGCCTTCCCGACCTCACAACTCTTGCCTTCTATAGGCATCTAAAACCAGTGCCACGTGGATGACTAGAGCCTGCTGCCAGCTGGAGCAGTAGCCAGGCTGCCTTCTCTTCTGGCTGTCGGCGTTGAATGCCTATGAACCCAAACCCAAGGAACAACTTCCCTAGGCCACTGCCATTCTGGAACATGGTGCCCTGGGGCTTTCCTCTCAGAGCAAAGTCTTTCACTTTTGCAGGTCTGAGGCTGCAAGGACTGGAGTCCTGCTGGTTCTTGTGATATCCTCAGGCTTTCTTTTATGTTGTCTTCTTCTGAAATACTTGGCTTTTCCTTGCTAGTCTCTTCAGCGACCATTTTCTCATCTGTTCTATCTTTGCAGGCTGCAACTTGACGGGAGCTTCCTTTCTGGCCAAACTCACATTCTGCTGGTCTCTTTGCCCTTGAGTCTCAACCTAAATCTGGCTAAAAGCCCCCAACAGTAGCCATACTACTGCTCCAACATTAGACTGTCTTGAAATTTCTTCTGCCAGATTAATTAGTCTGCTGCCCTTAATCTTAATCTCAGGTAGTTTCTGGACACAAGCAAAATGCAGACAAACTCTCTGCCAAGGTATAACACACAACAGCCAGTGTGGTCCTTTTTCCCAGCAGAAACTGCCTGAGCTTGGTCTTTACCAGCAGGATTTCTGTCCATCTTCTGGTCTTCTGAGCTCTGACCAGAATTTCCCATCAAGTACAGCCTAAGGCTTTCCAACTTTCTGCTTTTTTCAGGGGCATCTCCAAACCTTTCCTGAACTTCCCCTGCCCACAAGCCAGTTCCAAAGGTTCTTGAGCCACATGGTCAGGTAGTGTCACAGCAGCCACCCCATTGCTCTGGTATGAAATTCTGCCTTAGTTACTCTTCTCATTGCTGAGACAAATTACCCAACATCCAAAGTTAAAGGGGAAAAGTTTATTTAGACCATAGTTTGTAGAGGTTTCAATCCATAATTGTCTGGCTCCGAGGCAGGGTGGCTTGGCAGAGGAATATTGCAGAGGATAAAACAGTTCATGGCAGGTAGAAGATAGCACAAACAAGCAAGGGACCTTAGCAGCTTCTTTCTGACCCTTTTATCCTCTCTCTAGGCTACCAGGATTAGGATGGTGCCAAGCCAATCAGTGGACTAATTTAGTAAGCACACACTCTTAATCCCAGCATCACACAGTCTAGATTCAGCCACTTCTGAAAAAGCCCCACCTATGACTTCATGTGGCTTTCGAGGACATCTTACCACAGTAGACTTGGGTGGTACTAGGTCCCATACATGCTAGGCAAGTACTCTGCCACTGAGCTACATCCCCAGACCTTTTTCTTAATTTTGCAAAAACACAGTCTTGCTAGGTTTAACAGGCTGGCTTCAAACTTGTGATGCTCCTGTCTTAGCCTCCTGAGTAGCTGGGATTATAAGCATGTGTTACCATGCCTGCTTAGCTACACTTAACCATCTGTTTGTTTTCTTTTCTTTTCTTCTCTCTCTCTCTTTTTTT